GAGTTACCATGGTTAGAGAAGGTCCAACGTATTTATAACGTTGTATATCCTTCTTATTAAAAAGGCAAAAGCGTTGGAACACTACCAAGAAGATAGCAGAGTATCAGGTTGGTGACAGAGTTAACATCCGTCAACGTAATTTCGATGATACTGTATTAACATCTAAATGGATAGGTCCATATATAATCTCTGTAGCAGACACTAAAAGTGGAACGTATGAAGTAAATAATCCCGATGGTTCTAGGACGCTTAATATAGGCACAAGTCGTATTCCGACTACAGAGATTATACTCGCAAGAAGACATGACTCTAATGCCCCTCTTGATCGTTCTGAATTTAAAAACATTATATAGAGAACGGATAAGGGAGGCTATACATACTATCGTACACGCTTGATAGACGGTACAATAGATGAGTTGACTTCAGATGCTTTCGATAATCAAGACTATTTAAAAGCCTTTAATCGAAAATGGCGTAAACGCCTGCATATGTCACAAGCTGAAAAAGATATCATGTTTCCATCGTCTGAAGGAACGGAAGTTAAAACTTATCCGTCTACAGCATTTATCCCGAGCCTTATTGCTCATCCTTCATATGTGCTTAAGACACTGAAGCGTAAGAAACGTCCAGTCGACCACCACGGACCTACTGGACCTAAGCCCAAAACTCTCAGGATAACCGAGAACACTTAACTTCCTCCGCCTGAGCAACATTAACTATATGTTATGCTACTTAATGTTTCGACCCGTTTTTCCTTTCTCGCTTTTTGACCCATAATCAGCTTGAGTGAGCAACTCGCTTCTCTTGGGTCTCAAAGCTGGGTGGGAGCTGTGTAATAAGCCGGGCCTCCACATTAGACTCCCATGTATAAACGTACTCTTAAGCAGTACGCAAATTAAAAACGTACTTAATAGTACGACGAACTTAAGTTTCCTAAACGTACTCTTAATAGTACAAGGAACTTAAGTCTCCTAAATGTGCTCTTAATAGCGCGAGGAACTTAAGTTTCTTAAAATGGTTTTTAATGGTTTTATTAATTAATACCTTTTCCATTTAGCATATCAGATATTTGGATGAGGCCATTAAAAGGCCTCAGTAAAATACCAAACATAAAGAGTTAGTCTAGTTCTATTAATAGAACTTTATTTACTTTCCAATTTTATTTATATCTGAATACTTCGGTTGCGAGATAGTTCAACCGAATATAGGTTCCTAGGGATTATTAGCGTTACTTAGTTGATCCTCCGATAAGCCAACCAGATGTGCCAGTCTGATGAAGGCTAAGTCGGTATTTCTTGATAGTGGCAAGTTATTGGTTAAGACAATAACTACGGGCGTCAAGAGTATTTCTATTTATTTATTTATTCTATTTAAAGATAGGATTTTATGAGTCTCTCGGATTCGCCCTAGAATAGAGCAACAACGAAACACTAAACAAAATCCCTTCGGCGGAAACAGTACTGAGAGGATTATATATAGGCAATGTCTCAGCCTTACAATCCCTCAGAGTATTGCTGTTTTCACGAGACAGACCTAACTTTATTAAAGGTCTCATTTCGTTTATTTATATTGATATAAACACGATACTTAGAATTCACCTACGCGTTTATTTATTCTAAGGCATTAGCATCGAATTTATTAGGCCAAATCTTACAATCACCGATTCTAGGATTTGAATTATAATATATCGTACAACAAATTAGATCGGTATAGAGCATAAAACAAGCTCTCCATTTGCAGTGCGATAATTTATAGATATAGGTCATCGAATATTTTCTCTTTTCAAGATAACGAGCAACACAGGAATGTAGTGTTCCATAGAGGAGATAATTAATACTAGTACCACTCTAGTTAGGTATACTCTTTCAATAACAACAAAATTCTTTCGCTATACGTTCCTCACCTTTTATTTTTGATCTATTTGATTGCAGTTGCTTTAAAAATGAGCCCGTTTCAATATTAATAAGAAAGTTTTCAGTACAATTTCGCTGTCCGCGGAATCAATTTACTAGATTTTACGATCTCAAATATAGCTTTCCGTGACAAATGGTATATATTCAGCACAACGGTCGCTCGTCACAAACGACATTCTAGCTGTAATTTCAAAATTAAAAATGCTTGTTGGTCAAAAAAGGATTGCCTACCCGTATATCAAGCAGATTTAACAGCCTCCATCAATTTTTCAAATTAATCTACCTTCTGTTAAATTTACCCTAATAAAGTCCAATAGGTGCTCAATCAATTAAACATTTGTTGCAGTATTCGATCGAAAATGTCTGATCGGATATATCTGCGTTCTGGATGGTTCCTGTGATTTCAGTCGCACTATTGCTGTAGCTTATTGTTAGTTGAAATCGCTAGTCCTACAAGTTACCGATAGTATGATATTGCCATTTGAATCTAATGCAGGTGCAAATTTTGTTCTCTTGTTATGTATACCTTTTTTTTCATGTACGTATCAATGCGCATTGCGGTAAAGTATCCATGCGTTATTTTATTGAATTGGAAAACATAAATCAAATTGACGATCAAGAGTAAAAACGGACACTTGTCGCTCCTGAACTACACAAATTTTGTATTTTATACTGAAGTATGCAAATACAAACACTGACTTTAAGATGAATTTCAACGACTTCTTACAGATGACTTCACGTTGAATTTCAACCACGCCTTCACCTCTGTAGACATTACCTGGGCGAATGATGTGCTGAAGTATCAGACGTGAAATATATCTATTCTTTGTAAGCCGCATGCATAGCATTTTAACCGGATTTAGGGATTATTTACTGCTTCATTCCTTCACCAAAGTAGCTCGATAAATATTTCATTCACAAAGCGTTTATATTGTAGAATACACACTGCGAGATCACTGGCAGACTCAATTATATCCAACCATCCGTTCCCTACATGCATCTTGGAACATTCTGAGTTGCGAAGTGGCCAGCAGTATCCATTCTTTACGATCGATTCAATGTATCTCGCTGTTCCCACCGTAGTGTCAAGGACAACTACCGACTATTAACTTCCATCGCCACTTGCGACTTGTCAGCAAGGAGGTTTACAAACACTAGTTTTTCTGATACCGGAATCCCCCGTCGTGCCTTATATTCCTTCTGATCGCATAATTAGCAAATCAGCTAGGTTTCCAATATATGTAATCACATAGAAATATTGGTCGTACGGCCGAATTAATGGTCGGATCGTAACCGCCGTACAACAAATAATACGTATACAGTCCGACAATAGTTAACCCAATGTCTCTGTTTAGATAGTGACATACCCAATTTTTCACTCACTATTTAGCCGAATTTTTGTACACACAATATCTCACTTAGACGCTAGCTACAATCAAGCTATTTAGGTCATTAGAAACGCAAAGAAATATGTCACGATTAACTATCATATCGATATATAACTTAGACTTGTAGTGCCACCAACAGTAGAGCATAGACATGCCCATCAAGGCGAATTTATATCATTTAGAAGAAAAAAATAATGAATGTGTGATATATTGACGTGCGTATAACATGTGTGGTCTAAATCATGATCCGTAAATGTTTGTTGTAGTGAGTAGGGCACATGACATACTCTGGTGAGCACGAGCTATGCATGTCTGTCTGTTTACAACACCCTGGTGCACAGCATGTAAGCTTGTGGTAACGGTTCGATGTCTTACTCCATGTCTTACTATATGGATCATACTTCCCAGCTCAATTTGGTTTCCGCGGGTGTATATGGTCGGGTAAGCATAGCCCCGAACGTGTAGGGGATCGCTCTTCAATACAATACAAAGACTCTTTATGGGTGTCTACCATAGTTATAGGATCGTTTCCAGACAAGTGGCACCATGCCATTGCCGTGTTCATAATCGCGAATACGTGTTATCTAACCCTTAGTCCTTATTTCAATTCTAGACAAACAGCGCCTCCACGCACCTGATTGTTAAGATCGGCAGCGTTTCGACCCTGGTGGTAATAGTCGCTTACTTTATCTGGATACCGAAAGGTATAAATTCGCGATCTGTTGTATCTGTATATGTTTTCTCTTTCGGACACTCGTGTCATGAGTGGAAGCGAAGTGATCAGTGTAGATATGGTCCTTGTGCGCAAGCAAGTATAATTCTTGCGCGGTCGTTGTTTGTTGTCTGGATCGTCGTATGCAACCGTACCATTTCGAGTATCAAAGTCGAACATCAGCTTATCCACCATGTGCATCTTTAGTTCGTCCTCTGGTATACCCTTTAGCCGATACCGGGGTTTCTTTATTACAAACATACCATAAATAGCACGCAATAGTAGTTCATAGAGTGGTCATATAGTGGTTGCAATACACAGAAACCGCTGTCCAACAATAACACAAGCGCAGTTCCGTATATAGTTTTAGTTGACCTAAGAACTATAGCTGTTGTTTTGCCATAATCGTCGTACTGTAGCAGTGGCAAGTGTTTTGGCCTAGCCTTTCCCTCTACTAAGTCACTAACAAACAGGACATACGAACTACAACAAGCTATTGTTTTAAACTCGTTGACAAGCGGCTAAAGTTTCTTCGGGGAGCAGCAATTGGCGTAGCTCTAACGACAATCCCATGGGCACATGGGGTCGACACAGCAGCATTTCCAAAATGATGTAAAGACTTTGTGCATGTTTTGAAGGGCTCGATGACAGGTCTCCGAGTCGCGGTCGCCTTTAAAAAGGTCTAGACACTCGGTAATCGGTTTAAAGCGAGCTTGCAACATCAACGTGGATAAGTTAGGGGTAGGATACGAGGAGTCTTCAGAGGAGTCTTCAGATGGAGTGGAGTAATTAGATACCGTCGTAGCAGGGTAACGAGACATTACAAACCGGACAAAAATCAAAACATGGTACTCCTTCGCTTTTAACTTCTGGTTAGTTGCAGCTTTGGGCAGAATATTGTGAAGATGGTAGGTCGGCCAGACAGATCGTACAATTTAGGCTCTTGGTCTTTTCGGCCGTTGCGATTCAAGCGACGCGGGCATACATTCATACTCTCCCATTCACCATGAACGATGCCTGAGAGATCGAGTCGCCTTCTATTGGTTGCGTGTCGTCGTCAAGGCACGGGGTACCGCCACCATCAAGGTCCATAGCCTCGTCGCTGGTAGCACCAGGACATTCTCCAACTCTGACAGTATCAGCAACTAGTCTTGCCTCTTGTTCTGGTGCAGGTGGAGAAGCAGGTGCCGCTGGTGCTAAAACAGGTGCTTGTGCGTCAATATCAGCTCTAAATGTACCATATACATCAGGCGTGATGTTGAATAGAGTTTGGGAGCTTCCGTGCTGTGTCCCATTCAATCGTTCAACCTGCAAGGTTACAGTAGCTGAAGCCGGTGGTCCTACGTCTGACGCTAGACTGGATTTTACATTCCTGTTATCACCATGTACGTCCATTGTATGGTTGACATTTCCACCCGTAGAAAGACCGAGAAGTTTCTCTACCACTAAACGGTCAGCATCATCTTCGACAAATCTATCAGACGCAAGATCTTATATACCTGATGGGGGCGACAGGGCTGTACTACGAGCTGAAGCAAGGTGGTTGGTGGGTCATGGCATATTCAACGAGTGTGTGCTCACAGATACTCGGCCATGATAGGGGCTGCCACTCGCACTGTCTCCTCTCGTTCAAAACCAGTGCAAATTGCAACATAGATACTTCGTCTCCTGTGGCCACTAGCGTACTATTTTTATCTGTTCTGTGCGAACAGTCTGTCAGAGAGTATACATACCTCTTGGCTCCACCACTAAGGTGATCCTTCCCAATAGCAACTACAGTGCCAGTTAAGCGATGCTTGGCTTGTAGATCCTTAGGAAAATGCCAAATAATGATTCCGGACCATCGATGGATGTACACCCGACATCTTCATATTCCCTTTCGTCCAAATCGGATGCACACAACGCGTTCGTTTTTTAGGGGGGGGGGGAAGGTGGGGTACTCCCCCACGGTTTGGATCCACATGCACTGCCATACGGTCCTATTGTAGCACTGTGCATCTGCTCTATATGATTGCACGCACATCCCAAGACGGTCGTTAACTACACACAAATCTCTCAAACACCACAAAACAAGATGTTAGTTGCCATAGATACAGTTGACTATCTTCTATAACTGTATTCACTACATCGTCGTAGTATCATGTAGATTTGAGTCGAAGGTCTAATTGGATGTCGGTATCTGCTCAGAAAAACCTAATATCCATCTGACAGTGTAAATCCAGAACAAATCGTGTGAATTTGTACCACTCCAGAAAACTAGACTCAAATTTGCGTGTTTAAAAAGAATTTAGACTACCTAAATGCCGTAAACTACTCAAATAAACTTATCAACCAAGAGCCGCTGGTAAATAAAATATATAGTGAGCTTATTTAAGCAGTATGTGGTTCAATTCCAACGATCAAGTATCCTTGTTGTTTCGATTTGAGCAATTGGCTCTCCTTTATTTGGAATTCCCGGCTTTCAGCCTTTTCTAAGTTTTGTGTTTTCTCAATTTTGAACGCTACAACATGTCAAACTAGTTTGCGTCCTCTGTAATAAGATGGAGGTTTGCATACTGACTCATCGATCATAAGTGAGAGTCCGGTTCACAAAACCTCAGCAATGGAGCTCCTAGCAAGTGTGTATGTTTACGTAAAAGCTCGATACGGACGCCTCACAACTTTTGCACACGTGGCATTCATCCGCAACTGTTATGCTCACCGTCCTTAGGCTGCCCGCGCTGGCCTATGTAGACTAGAATACACTCGCGACCACCACACATATATATGTGTCTGTAGGTATAGTATTTAATATAACTCAATACGACTTTTCATCCTCGTGTCTTAGTCATACGTTGTGCGTTAGCTCTCATAATTGGCCTTGTTTGTGATGCCTCTGCTCTGTCATTCAAGGCGTCGAATAGCGGTAATTTCTCCTGCGATGAAATGAGTGTAGGTATCGTATCAACTTGTGAATTGTCGCAAACTTAGTATATTGATAAAGAAGTTCTGCGCATATGCATATCTAAACATGAAACATCACATACAATCCCTCGGCGGAGTACAACCAAGACCCCGTTTTCGTACAAACGTAATACCAAATTCCTATATCTTGAGAACGAAAATAAGAGTTCCTTCTAAAAAAAACAAACGTCTCACATAGTTTGAGTCCGTCGCCGAGATAACAGCAGCTTTGAGGGTTTTCCCCCTGACAAGAGAGAGATTGATCAGACTGTTTCACATACCTCAAGAAAGTCGTCGAAATCGTCCAGTAATGTGGTGATCTGGGCATTCTTCGCTCGTTGCTTAGCCGCATCAGGCTAAAGTGGAGATAGAAAAGGAGCAGCACAAAACCAGTCATGAATATGTGTATCTATAAATAGTAAACGTATGTAATACAGACACCAAGCAAACCTTTTCATTTGATTATGTATTGTATGGAGACACCTGAGGTTGTATGCATACTCGGGTGTTGGTATGGCTCGCGCTTATTTTCCTACAGGGCGGAACAGACTTAATGCGGCACTTTTCTAGAAAAAAAGTTTCCCTGAGTAGCGTATAACAAGTGTGCCATGCCTGCTGCTGAGAATTGTCTGTTGAACACATATCTCTATCTCGATACTCTTCTTCACCCTACATTGTATTGAGTCTCCAGCACACAATCAAAGTCAAATAATCTGGTGTGCTATTAGTCTAGAGATCGAAGAAACGCTTCATAGGTAATCCCGTACTTTTGATGCTATCGATATGTGGCTGGTCGTAAAAATCCACAGCCAAAGCTCAAAATGTAAATTTATTGAACAGGACTTGGATTTCGCCAAACACGAGAGTTTTGAAGGAAAGTGAGGTGAAAACAAAAACGAGACTACGGAATCAAGACAAACAACCGGGGGTTAGGCGAGGCTACCTACCTAACCCAGTGCTTAGTGTCTGATTAGTATCGGTTCATACATTAATGAGAACGCCACATAAACTCTTCAATGGTATAAACGGCCCTAACTACCGAAATTAGGCTGAGATGGTTTAACAACGGATTGTTATAGAACGGGTTAGAGATACGAATGAAAAGGCCAAGACTAACAAGAAGCATCGAATCACTGTAATCTGGGGAAAGAAATGTCAAAGGACTGTCACTATAAAAATATTGGGATTCAGAGACTATGGTAAACTGATAGTGTATAATGTAGTGTACTGTAGGTGCTTTCACAACTAATACACTTAACGAACACTGTAGTGCCACTCAGCATAGTCAAACATCAATACAAAATGCATACCGCCGCCATTTCCTCTGGCACCACGCTGCCTTTCGTCTCTGTTTTAACAATCGACTCGAATAAACTGTGTCAACAAATAAATAGTCCATGAGAAACGAGAACCTATTCAGAAACCCTATACGCTAGATGTGATGTCTGTGAAACCTCGCGGGGATAACACAGCTACTCGCACACACAGTCGGCGGTATTGGTGCTTACATGCGCCTACGCTATCCGTAGGCGGAACATCATTCCAACGCACACAGCCAAGATCAGTACAGCCACGCACCAAAACATTGGGCGAAGGTGTAAGTACACACATCCCCAACGGTTGGGTCGGAGCGGATACATCAGTGTGTATGTGTGGTCAGGAAGAATATGATGAAAAGGATATGAATACACGCAAAGGATATGAATACACTTCACGGCCGCCTCGAGCAGAACTGGGCAGAGCTACACACCACACACACACGCGCACACGCACGCACACACACACACACACACATACACACACACACACACATGCACAAACACCAACACACACACTCACACACGCACACACACATACACACACACACACACACGCAACAGAAGAAATCCCACACTCCAACAGGCCAGTACAGTGAAAGTGATCCGCGGGGCTGTCAGTACTACATCGGGACTTGTCCTGATATCGACACCATCAGTGGAGTGCAACTAATAGTAAGCAAGCAAGGCATTCTGAACTAATAAGGATGGTTACTCTCGAATAGTCTAAGGACGTCTCTATCTTTTGTGGCATGAGATCATAGAAAATACACGCATGCATGCACACGGCTAGGGATAGACACCGGTGCTGGCGTTCTAACTTGTGCGCAGATTTAAAATGCAGGTGAACATTTAAACGACTTGCAAACGTTTACTCAGTGGCGTAGAGGTGTCCACAGCGGCTGATGCATGCATCTGTATACGTTCACACCTATACATCTCCGATGTCGCTGGGTGCTAAGGGGATTCAAGGAGGGGTATAGATTGATATACCACACGCATACCTACACATGATCGCATCCGCACGTACACATGTAGTACGGGTGAACCTGTGCAGACGTGTGCTGTGTCACACCCCTTAGTAAACACGTAGCACGTGGGAAACTACACTTGTCAGAGTTTCTGCACATACTTGGTTGTCGACGACACAAACTCGTGGGCCGTGCCGGTGGTGTGTTTCTGCGCGCGAATGAGATCCTTCAGCATCAGCCGCACGGTCTGGCGATTCTCGGGCGTTTCCTGCGACATGGGTTTGGGTTAGTACCAGCAGACCAAGACATGAATCTTATGCGGATATGACAGGACTTGATATTATATACGTGTACCGATAGACGTAGGAATCTTATGCAGATATGACAGGACCTGATACTTTATACGTGTACTGAGAAACGTAGGTATCGGTGTAGATATGACTAATCCGAGCCATGCCAATGTTGCGACGTAGAGGCAGCTTCAATCGCAGATTCGTCTCTTGAAGACACCTACGCAGGCAGTAAAGCAAATGAAGACCACACATTCGCAGGCATCAACAGAAAAACCACAATTAGAAGGCACTGAGATAGAAAGCTAGACATGCCACATCGGTTTATACAAAAACGGTATATGCGTAGTATTTAATATATATATATATATATATATACACATGAATATACATATATATATATAGACATATACATGTAATGAATACACCTTCCACATCGATTTGACCGAGCTCGGCACATCATGCACGGGAGAGGGGGTGGATGCGTAGTCTATCTTGAAGTCGTTCTGGGTCTGCACTACACCCAGTGTCTTGTCAATGACATCCAGGGCATCCTTCCAACACTCTCCCTCTAGTGCGCGTATGAGCACATACGCTGGGTTGCTGGTAGAGTCCTCTGTCAACGCTGAGATCTATGCAAAACAGAACAGGAGCACGACGAGAGATATATATCAGCAACGTGTGTCCGTATATAGTTGGTTGCCCTTACATGTGTTATACAGCCCATGCTTGACTAGTGAATTACGAGCACGATATCCGGGACGGTCCGTATGGGGTTGTACACGTGTAGGTAGGCGAAGTACTCAGAGAATATACATACAAATCATTTGTTCACATGTATGTATGAGGATTCACATACACACCATTTGTTCACATGTATGTA